CAACAGTAAAACGTTTCTGAATCTGCAATGACCAAATAAGAAATCTAAATTAAATGAATGATGAACCTAAGGAGTTTCTGGTTGCGTCTTCCTATGTTTCACTGAGTGAACAGTGAAGCTTTTGTTCTGAACACCAAGCACGTGCAATTCATACTGGGCATGCAGTCATACCAGGCAATGTGCAATTCGTACTGTGCATGCAGTCATACCATGCCAACAAAGGTTGCCTGAAACACCTCGGTTAAGAATTGAGATCTTTGTATGTAATGGATTGTATGAAAAATGTTCTCCTTTTATATAAATACCATGCTTTAATTACAGAAAATAGGGACTTTAATAGTTTCCTAACATCATTGTTCAGAAAGTAACTAGTGTGTATTTGAATGTATTGCAATAATATTTTAAAATACCTTTTTAAAGGATTTATTTTTATTTTTGTGTTTGTATGTATGCATCTACACAGGTGTGGGGGCCTGTGGAGGCTAGAAGATAGGATCATATTCCCGGGAGTTTGGATTACAGTGCCTCTGAGCTGCTTGATTTGGTCGCTGACCCATCTCTTCAGCCCTAAACATTTTGATATTAGAAATAGTGTTTGAATGACTGACGTGAGTTTCATAAGAAACTGTTCAATGATTTGGTTTTTAAATTAGAATCAAATTTCTAACAATTTCTGAAATGATGCTAAACACATTTTTGCCATTTTGTACTACATATTTATGTGAAGCAGCATTTTCCATACTCATGATCATAAAATCAAGATATAGATCAGTTCTGAAAAGCACTGATGATATTTTATATCTTTCAGTATCAGTTGTTCAGCCATGTTTTAATGTTTAATGCAAAGCTAATCAAGTGTATGTAATACACTTAATAGTATGTAATTAATGTTATTAATTAATAGTATTAATTTCTTCTTAATAGTATGTAATTCTGCCTTAGTCTTTAATATCTAGTAAATTTATATGAATCTAGAAAATTGTGTTAAAATAAATTTATGATTTATTACATTAATGTTTGATTAGTAAACTTCCTATATATACCTACATGATGGTAGATAAAAAAGTACTTGAGAGAAAAAGTTTACCATGTAGAAAATCCCTAAGAAACACCGCTCTAGTAGGTAAATATAGCCACTGCACAGTCCTTGGGGATATACTCAGAATTCAGGTGAAGAACTTGGTGCAGTTTTTATGGTAGTGTAAGAGCCATTAGCACAGACCCGTGACACAGCTTGAACCTCTGCATGAGTTGGAGGCAGGAGAGTTGTTAAAAACCTTGTACTGTAATGCTGACAGTGTAAGTCATGAAAGGATTATGGATGGGACAGTGAGGCCTGCACCGAGACATCTGAGGCTGCTCTGCAGCAATAGAATTCCATAGATTAAACAGATCTTTCCCCAGCCTAAAGACAGTTCCTAAGTAACTAGAGAAGAATAATACAGACATTAAAGTGTGCATAATATGGAGGCCTAAAATTAAAAGTAGTCCATACAGTAAATTTAAGGCCACTGAAGTGGACTTTGACAAAGGATTCAGAGTTCAGGTTTCTTGCTCACAATGGTGTTGGCTGCATGGCAGAGGAGGATGAGGCATGTTATTTGTGAAGCTGTGAAAGAATCGCTGCTCAAAAAGGACAGGAAGCTTGGGAGTCCACAATTCCACAGCCATAGATACAGAAGTGCCCACCACACACACAGACCAGACCATAAAGGAGGAGGGAGGGGGAATGAGAGAGGAAGAGAAGTGAGAGGGAGACAAAAGAAGACCAAGAAGGCAAAGAGAACCGAGAGGAGAGCCAAGAGAGTGTGTGGCTGAAATGGCTGGATTCTATGGGGAAGGGAAGCTGGGGGAAGGGAAGGAAGCTCAGGGGTGGGAGAAGATTAGGGTAGGGGCTGGGATGAGAAGTGCTGAGAAAAGTCCACTGTCACAGGTACTTGCAGTGCTGGGAGAAGCTGGTGACTCTGGCAGCCAGTGTCCACTTTGATAAGTTAGTAGGTACCTCAGTTAGCCATTTGTCCTGGGTTTTCTCAGGACCTAACAGCATGAGATACAGAGATGAATCGCTGGCTAATTTCCCATACTCAGTTTACAACTATCAAGTGGATTTGTGAAGAACTCAATTTTCTTAAATGCTCATTTTGTCAACAACATAGGTAGATTTTATCTATGGACTTCAATCCTTTAAGCTTCTGATTTCAGGGATACCAAGTACAAACACTGAAACAAGCATGACAGAGGTAATCCAAAGCATTACTGAGGGACACTCACATGAGAAAAAGTATGTGGCACTGAGTTCCAATATTTTATTCACTTGGATATTTGTTCAAATCACAAAACTGCACACACATGTTGGTACAACATAGCTTGACAACACTGTGGAAGACAATGAATCTTGAAGAACAAAACAAAGCCCCAAATGAAACACCCTAGGAGAAATGACAGCAAAAATAAAAATATAGGTGGCTGGGGAAATGGCTGAGTGCTTAAGAGCACTGGCTGCTCTTGCAGAGGACTTGTATCCAAGTCCCAATTTACCTATAGTGGCTATCAACTAACTGTAATCCTGGTTCCAGGTGCTCTGACCCCTGCTCCTGGCCTCTGTGGACACCAGCCATGCATGTGGTGCACAGAAATACATGCAAGCAAAGCACAGATACTCATAAAATAAAAGAATGATTTAAAGAAACTAACCATCTAGTCTTAGAGAATAAGATTATTTCACTAAAAACATGTCAGGGTAAGGAATTCATGTAGGAGAGACGATATACCACATGAGAGTGAGTGGAATGTAAGCATCTGAAAACATTTCCTTAAGAGAACAATGCCTTCAAATGAACAATAGATACCCAAGTAGGAAATAGTTTTTGGCACTATTGAAGCCACTGGATTTTATTGGACTTAAAGGCAGGTTAATGGTAATTCTGAAATGAATAATAAATCTAAATAAAAGTGTAAATAAGTAGGTAAATAAATAAAGGACAGATGGTCATGACTGCACATAAGAAAAATAGTCCTACCTCACACAGCCTTGAGGCAGGGGCAAGCGCTTGGACCTGTCTCTACTGAATGTTCCTCCTCATGGCAGGCCTTACCTTCCTGTAGGAAGGAATGGGGCATGGGTAGGGATGAGGAGGTTGGAAGGGCAGGAAGAGGGAAGAGGGGGATCTTTGATTGGTATGTAAAATGAATAAAAAATTTTCTTAATAAAAAGAAAAGAAAAATAGTCTTCAGGGCTGGAGATGGTTCAGTGGTTAAGTGCACTTTCTACTCTTCTAGAAGACCTGGGTTCAAATCCCAGCACCCACATGGTGGCTCAAAACTGTCTGTAACTCCAGTTCTAGGGGATCTGATACCCTATTCTGATCTCTATGGGGCACCAAGTACTAACATGGCACACAAATATACCTACAGGCAAAACATTCACATACATAAAATAAAATGAATAAATCTTTAAAAAATACAATGAAATAATAGATCAAAAGGACAGTCGAAATTCATCATCTCCTATTTCACAAAATCTCTACATTTTGTATAGAGGAGTCTGAAACCACATATTTTTTATTAATCATTTTGAATGTAAGTAATCATAATGATATTAGGTAATATCAAAAGTGCAATTTAAACATATTATAACAAGGAAGTATAATACAGAATGAGGGAGGCTCTAGCTCACATATTAAATACTCCATTTGCTATTAGTTGGCTGTATTCTTAGATCATCATCCTTGATCTGTCTGTTCTTGTCTTTTACATTTAAGCCAGATATTTAGAGTATTTCCAAAAACTATTATTCTGTTGTGTGCAAAAATATTTGCAACAACTCATTTTAAGGAAAAAAAATCTAAAAATCACTTACACAACCTCCTTCTCATTTATGAAATGAGGTAATTTCTCCAGATACTAGATCTACAGAAATGTAAAACAATGAATAAATCACAAATATAAACAGACAAATATGTGAATTTGAGGACCTCCTATTTTATCTGTGGACTATTAATATGTTTCCTATCATTACTATTTATTTTGCCTCTATATAAAAATCTTTGCACAAAACTAACTTATTAATTGCTGATCACATTTGCTCACTTAGTGTTTGATCTTGATTTTCCTACTGGGTTTTAATCTTATATTAATAATTTTGTTGTATGTATATTGTCAGAAACTACATCAGATACGATCTTGAAAAGAAGAAAGTACAACTAAATGCATATATTAAAATTTCATTGTCAAATTAGTACTCAATTCACAAGGACACAAATAATGAGCTACATTTAAACATCCTGATAGTGATTCTGAGTGTTATTAAAAGTTATAAAACAGGAGATTATATTCAATTATAATATAATTTAAATATGTTCAAAAGAAGTTCATAATAGTGGTATCAATGTCACTTTATATTGTTAAGTAGAATTTAAAATGTTAGCAGGTAGAGTTATTTTTTGAAAAGTGTTTATCATTAAGAGTTCAATTTATACATAAATACAACTGTCTTTTATAGTAAATTAATATTAAATATAATTAGCATCATGTTTCAATTACAATAATAACAGAAAGAGAATTAACTAAAAAGTAGTCAAGGCTTTTTCAAGTAGTTAGAGCAAACTTAAACTAAAACTTAGTACCTGTTCACAGGGAACTTAAACACTCATCAGGAACAAAGGTTTGGGGTTTCTAAGAAAGCTCAGTTGGTTAAGTGCTTGCTGCTCAAACATGAATTAAAGCCCCAGAATCTGTGTTAAAAGCTGGGTGTGATGGCACATGCTTTAGTTCAAGGACTGGAAAAGTAAATGAAGACTAGTGGAACCTTTGGGTTCTCCTCCCTGCCAGAACAGTCTAATTGTGCACCACAGGACATCAGGGGTCACTCTTAAACAAACAAATAAAATGCAAAACAACAACAACAACAACAACAACAAAAAGCCAAGGTAACAAGGTGAACTGTATCTTGACCTCTGGTTTTCACATGCATATGCACATAGACACACACACACACACACACACACACACACACACACACACTCACTCACACGCACATGCACACGCACACGCACATGGGGAGTGGGAAAGGAATCACAAGTAAAATCAAAGGGTTTTGAATGAGATTTGCTGTTTGAAACAAAAGTAAATAAGTGAAAAATCAAGAAGGATATTTGCAGAAGAAAATTTTGGACACTTGATCTCGAATCTGTTTGGTCTTCACCCCATAAACGATAGGATTAAGTAAAGGTGGAACAAGTAGATAAAGGTTAGACAGGAGAATGTGAATGTAGGATGGAATGTGGGAGCCAAATCGATGTGTAAAGAAAGAGAAGAAGGCCAGGAGATAAAACTCCAAGAAGACACAAATGTGGGCAATGCATGTGTTAAAAGCTTTGAGTCTTGCTTCCTTTTGAGGCAGCTTGAAGACAGTTACAAATATTCTAATGTAGGAGAGTGTGATGAAAATTATGTCCAGTCCAAGTATACTGAAAGCCACAAAGAGACCGTAGATCTTGTTGACACGAGTATCTTCTGCTGCCAGCTTTACGATGGCCATGTGCTCACAGTATGAATGAGATACAACTGTGGTCCAGTAGAATTTCAACCTGCATTTGATGAGAACGAGACACGGAGCTACAAAGAGGGCACCTCTGAGTGTGACTCCTATTCCTATCTGAGTGAGGAGTCTCTGGGTAAAAATCGATGCATGTCTTAGAGGATCACAGATCGCCACGTATCTGTCCATTGCCATGGCAATCAAAATGCCTGATTCAATTGACTGGAACGTGTGAATTAGCCACATCTGCAAGAGGCAGGCATCAAAGTATATGTTTGGAAGGTGAAACCAGAATATTCCTAGCATTTTGGGTAAGATGCAAGTACTGAGAGCAATGTCTGTTGCTCCAAGCATTGCTAGGAAGAGATACATGGGTTCATGGAGGCTTCGCTCAACTTTGATGACAACTAGGAGCAGAGAATTCCCAAAAAGAGCGATGATGTACATGGCACAGAAAGGAATCCCAATCCAGAACTGCACAGACTCCAAGCCAGGAATCCCAGTCAGAGTCAGCATTGAGGGCCTGAAGATGGTGCTATTGAGATGGATCATGCTGCCTTAGGGGCTGCAGGCATATGGCTTCTCAATTAGACTGGCAGCATGTGCTGGGAATATTTCTTCTGTTTTCAGTTCTCACCTACATTCACACAATCAGAGACTGAATGAGATTTCACATGGCAGTTTTCAGATATAGACTTTTACTGATGAGATCCCCTTATGCACATCCAAGAATGTCTACATATCTTTTCTAGGTGTGAATAATTTATTTCAGAGTTCAGTTTTCTATCATGTCTCTCACTTTCTTCTCTTCCCATGTCTGTCTTATCAGAAACATACATAACAGACACACAAACACTCCAAATAGAAGCTTATTAACTGTATTATAGAAAGAAGACATATTTCTGATTACCTATGAAAAATATTCAATTACAAGTGAGGTTTGGTTTTCTATGATAAATATCTTCTTTGATATTTAAATAATTAAATATTATAGTTGTCCGGGGAGGTCAGCTCCCCAGAACTGCACCAGGTTTGTGAATAGAAGACCTCAAAGTAGTGAGGGCTTTAGGAAACTCTTTTATCTGAAGGTATTTAGAAATAAGTTTCTATCTATCTGACAGGTAAATAAGGAAACACGCACCATTTCTGATGGTAACTTTCACTTCATCTTAAAAAAATCTCTTCCTCCAAAAATCTGTTTCCACACAGCTAAATCTCTTTACATACAGCTATATATTTATCTATTCTGCTACATTTCTTCACACATTACTGCATCATTCATTCACTCATTACTCATTTACTCTCATAGTCACTCAATCTCTCCTAGATCTCTCTATTCTAAATTTTTGGTTCTAGTTCTCTCTAGTTCCAGTTCCCTTTAGTTTCAATTCTCTCTGTCTCCACACAGCTACATGTATCACTTAGCACACACACACTCTCACTTCTGCCCAGCTCTTTCCACAGTTCCTTCACATTGCTCCTCTCACAGTCAAACTCTGAACAACAATGTATGTTACATTTTCAGGATCCAACCCATTCACATAACACATGATAAGTCACACAGTTTTTCTCAGGCTAGGAAGGTTGTGCTGACTGGCTAGTCAATAATGCTTGGCTATACATGTAGCTCTAAGTTGGTGAGAGTTCCCAGGCAGGAAGTAAACAGTTGGCTGAACCTAGAGCCTGTAACATTATACTAAGGCTGGGACTACATGCAAAACGTCATTTATTACAGAGGGATATGTCTATCAAAGTTGCTTCAAGCCTGACCTTGATTTAGTAATACTGGAATCTTGATTGTGTATTTTCTTCAGGGGCAGCTTAGTCTATTTTGAATTTGTTCTGAAATCTAAAATTAACTGTCTTTGAGACTGAGAATATTGTTACTTTCCTGTGTCAGTAAAGACAAATATTCTGGTATTATTTCTATTCCTCAGAATTATACAGCTTAAACAGAAATCATCTTTCTGGCTATCCACAGTTATATGTGTGCCCAAAGATAGAAAACACAACTAATGGCCTGTGGAAAGAACCCCATAGCTGTTCTTTTTAGGGAGGTAAGTGGTGACACATGAGAAAGTTACAGACAGAAAACAACTGGTTTCCACAGCCAGTGACTCCATAGACTTTGCCAAGTGGGGCTCACCTACAGAGAATTATTCATCTGGTAGGTTGACCTGTTGAACACTAGTTGTTACCTACTGTATATTCCCATGGCCTCTGGTAAAGCCATTACTACCAGCAGCTCTCAGCAAAATATCTACTTTGTTATGTCCTTGTCAAGAAGCATTTACCCATTTAATAAAGATGTCATAAAAAGGGCAATGAGATATATATATATATATAATATATGTATATATATTATATATATACTGTTTCAATAAGTGCTGAATGAATAATAAATCATGAAGAAGTTTATTGATGTGTAAGCTTCATGGGTTTTTATTACCACTTGCTGCTCCTATAATGACCAAAAGTAACTTACATACCTGTGTCCGTGAAAGACTAGAAGAAAAGACAGGAAGAATATCTACTAGATCAAGAGAAAATCAGCATTTTATTTTAACACTCTTCATCTCTAGATCAAATGCTCTAAAAACCTTTACTTCCTTTAGATAATGTGTGCTCTGAGCTCAAATATAATTAGAAGTCACCTCATATGCACAGGTGCAATTCCCATAGTCTCTTCACACATTACCTGAGTGTTTCTTTTGGAAGTTCGGAGGCACCCATGGGAACACAAACATGTTTAATTTTCTAACTTCTTTGTTTGAGTTCACATGTTAATACCAGTGTAGCTTTTCAAAAGCAACTAAAGAACAAGATACATGGTCAGCATAAAAAAAGACAGGAGGTATGGTACAATTCTCAATGAATGGATGAGTGACCAAATAATCTTACAAGCCCAAAATGTTAGCCAATCTCTGTCTTAGTACTTATGAAGGACCTGAACATATGAAGTATTGTAATGGTCCACAAGTACTCCCCTCTTAATCCAAGTGACTCCAGTAATGTTCATATAGGTTTTGAATAGTAAACATCTATCTCAACACTTGAGTTGACAAAGACAGTTCTAGAAATGACATTAAAAAAAAAAAAACAAAGAAAGAACTTATTTATGGTTTAAATGACTCCTAAGAGTTAATACATCAACACCAGGGAGAAGTTGGATCAATTTCTAATACTGTATCTAATAATGTATCAATACATTCAGGAAATCTCAATTTAACTTCATAAAACCGAGTGAATTCAACAACAGCTGTGTAAATACCACTGAGTTTCAGAGCCAAGCCCTTTCTATTTTCCAAAGATTACCACCCACCACTTTTAGAAATCATTTCTGGTGGTTGTTGGCTTTGACTAACAGATGTTAGGCAACCTCAAATACTTATAATCAATGATCTTTTCCATATGAGCTGGCTCATGTCATAGAGACATTTTTCACTGCATAAATACCAAACTGTTTTCACAACAGCTTTTCCTTGAATCATAATTCTTATATTATCACCAACATGTATATTTAAAAGTATGTTAGTTGTGGTATTCTGATGCATAAAATAGTGGGAAATATAGCCTTTATTTTTCTACATAGGAAAAGGGTTTAATATATAAGTAGTTAATTCTAATTTCTGAAGAAATATTTCCTACAAAATAATTGTTATTATTATCTATTTAAAATTAATCAGGTATGAAGATGAATCTCTGCAGCTATTACAATCTTTACTAAAGGCAAAGCCCCAATGAACAGGTAATTAACATATATATATGTGTGTATATATATATATATATATATATATATATATAATTTCTGTATTTATGATTGTCAAAGGACTCTCATCAATCTGTACATTTAGAGATGTGTATTTACCTCTGTGTAACTTGAGAGGTCAATACACACCTTATTATCCATTCTTTGGGTCTTGTTTTCCTATGTAGCAACAATAAGCTTCTTGATTTTGAAACTTTTTGTGACTGTAATTTTCCACAGACATCACATGACTATGGATGACTCATGTCAGAGTGTCTGCACTAGAGCCTCTAAGACAGGAATGTAACAGAAGATGTAAGGGTGCTCAGTTTCACTGTTGAAGGAAGGGGTGGCTGAGTGGGGTATGTTCTACAGAGTTTTCCATTCTCATCACATGTAAATACATTTATTTTTCTCACTAATCATAAGTAATGATATCAACTGAGAAAATGTCTGGTTGAGACTTTTAAAATGTTCATTAAGAAATTTGTATTCATTTAACATACCAACCACAGATCCTCCTCTCTTCCCTCCTCCCACCCCCTGTCCTTTTCCCCTTAAACCCATCCCCCATTCTCTCCTCCGACAAGGTAAGGCCTCCCATGGTTGAGATTTTGTGTGGAGTAAGAACACTGTAGTTGGAAAGGGGGTGTTGCTGGAGGGCTTCTCTCCAGGTTCCCCAAGCCCCGCAGTCCCACAATCCACATATAAAATGTACATATATTTCTACTCTTTTTTTTTTCTGCTTATAAGAGTTTATTAGAAATACAGGGATAGAGAGTGCGCAGGCCTGTGGGAGAGACACGTGCGTGGAGAAGAGGAGAGGAGAGAAGAGAGAACCGGGAATATGGCGCTCTGCTTTAAAAACCGGCTGGGGGCGTTACGTAGCCATGTAATGTCACGGATTCTGGTCACGCGAGATGCCTTGGCCAGAACTTGCTAGGCGGAGATGTCCGGGTCTGCCGGGTATCCTGGCTACCAGAGACGCTTTGACCCGGAAATGGCTAGGCGGAAGTGTCCGCCTGGTAAATGGGACCGTGGGGGGCGTGTTGTAAACCCTTCATTCCCGACTCTTATTTTTTAAAAAAAGAAAAAATTGTGGTTGACTGGGTATGGGGGCGACGTTTCTCTCAAAGACTGCTTCCAGCTGAATAGTGGGCGTTGGTTGGCTCTTGGGGGGGGGTGAGGGGTATCTTGTGAAGTCCGGGAATGATGGTGGAGGTCCTGGAATGATGTTCTGCCGTCTCCTGGTTCTGCGGCTGTCCATCTGTGCTGCTGCTGGGGACCGACTGTGCCGTGGCTGGGGACCTCCCATTTAACAAGATACTGTTGACATAGAGAGAGCTTAGAGAGAAAGAATCATTATTATTTTGTTTTGGAGTTGGCATTTGTCTGAGGTAGATTTGGCCTGCCCAGATAGAGGCATGTGACATTTACCTGAGGTAGATCTGGTCTTAGTACTCTGCTTAATTTCTATCTGAGACAAGCCTCATTAAAGGTAGCTTATTTAAGGCACCTGTTTCCCTTATTAGGTTAGCACTTGGGAAACACAGGTGATCAGTTGCTGAGTATTGAACAATGATAAATTGTTGTATTACATTATTCCTTACCACCTGGATATTTTTGATGGTCCTTTTGCCTCCGGCTCTGTGTGGCCCTGGTTGGAAAAGGAAGGGGTGGTACCTTATTCCTCTGGAATTGGTGACAAAGCAGGGGATCCTGATGTCCTCTGGAGCTTGAGAGTGAGAGGCCCTGTTTGTTTCACTGTATATGAAGAGAGATTTTTCTGGGATGGAGGTGAAATAAAAGGTTTTAGGTGAGACAGGTGGACCCAGTGAGGAAAGCCCTCGAGTTTAGCAGCTGTAGGGGTTACAAGAATTACTTTGAAGGGTCCCTGCCACTTATGGGAAAGAGGTGAAGGGCGCTGACCTGGAGGAGAGAGAAGAACCTAATATCCAGTGTGTATTGGAGATGGGCAAGGATTGTCACATGGCCGAGGCAGTGAACAGTCCACATAGCTCCATAGAATAGACCTTAGGTGACATAAAAGAGGAGTTAACAGGCTATCTGGAACAGTTGGAGGCTTGGAAAAAAGACCTGGTGTTAGAACTGGTCTGAGGAGATATTTAACTTTTCCTGATGGTGGGCATATGGGTAAAATCGAGCTGTAGCCCTGGGGAGGTGGGAAGCC